GAGGTTCTCCCTCCCTCTCCAGCTCATGCTCTCTCTCTCTCTCTCTCTTTAATAAATAATGTTAAAAAATAAATAATGGGTTAGTAGGGAATTTCATATACATTTTAATTTATTGAAATGAGCAAATGGCTTCATGAGGTAAAATTATATTCAAAAGGGAGGATCTTAAAAAAGGGGGAAGAGCTCATAATCGATAAAAATAGCTATATATATTGTTTATTACCAGTGAGATAGAATTGCAAGTGTTTACATTTCATTTTCCATCCAATACTATGATTGTGTGAAATCAATTTCATTCTAGACAGGATTGAATCAAGATTGTTAGTAGGTGAGATGGGCACAAATTTTAATAACAATGCCCCACTGACTGTCCTTTAAATATAGGCATGTAAGTCTTGCATAAAAGCAACACTTTTTAGGTTGGTAACTCTCAGAACCATTTCCCTAATTATTCTGAAAATGTAGTTTTAATCACTGATTTGAAATAACATGGGGATAAGAGTTCATGACAGAATTTAAAATGTTGAGGGTGCCTGGGTGGCTCAGGCATTAAGGATCTGCCTTCGGCTTAGGTGATGATCCCAGGGTCCTGGGACGGAGCCCCTCATCAGGCTCCCTGCTCAGCAGGAAGCCTGCTTCTCCTTCTCCCACTACCCCTGCTTGTGTTTCCTCTCTCGCTGGGTCTCTCTCTGTCAAATAAATAAATAACATCTTTTTTAAAAAGTTAAAATGTTGGATTATGTCCTTGAATTAAAAATGAGTGAAAGGTGAGATCCATTTTAAAGGCGATTTTAAAAACAAAAGCTTTCTGAGTTCCAGTGTTATGTAAAGCTTAGAAGTGGCCAGTCTGTCCTAACAACACTTTTCCTTAGACTCATAAGAGAGGTGAGGTACCAGAGCAGGCAGGCCACCCCACCCCCAAAATTGGAGAATAGCTAAGAAAATACGAATAATCGCTACTTACCAAGCAGGAACCTCCAAGCAGCATACTCCACAGGAACCAGTGCTAGGGTAAGAAAACCAAACAGCAACTGACAGAATTGTTCAAGTCCCAGTGTAGAAAAGTCTGAAAATTAAAAACTTCAGGGGAACCCAGTCAGGGGAGGGCACCATACTTTTTGTTTTTTTTTTCCTCTGGGAGCTTTACTATGTGCTCACAGTGAATATCAGAGAAAAATGCCTCACACTTCTGTCAGGGGGAAGGGAAAAGGAGCCATTTTGAAATACTCTGGAGCATTCTGTTTCTACTTAACAAGGTCTGTCCTCAGAAGAAACGATTTAACAAGAGCCTAACCTGCTGGGGCTTATTAGAGCCTAATTGACTTGAGGGAAGGGAAATATCCAACTCCAGCTGGTTGTAGTCAGTAGACATTCATTTCAGCCCTTAAGAATGATTTGTACTTTGGCTGTGTTCGACTTCCAGTGCTCTAATATTTGATGTTGGAAATTGTTTTGATTAGCATAGTGTAGCACAGCACATTTAATGGTCTTTAAGAAAAAGCTACAGATTTCGTTTCAAAATTTAGCATGAACATTTATTTGTCATTTTAATTTTAATTTAATGCACAATACAGGTTTTTTTTCTTGCATATTATATAAATATATATGCATATACTTTCCAAGAAACAGCATAGGCCTGCAGTAAAAGTTAGTGAGCAGTAAGAAATAATAATTAAAATACAATAAGAACAGAGCACAAAGCAACATATACAATGCTAAATTGCATATTTCAGATGAAAAGATACTTTAGTTTTGTGTGCTCCTCCTCCTTCCCTCACTCAAAAAAGAAGAAGTGAAGCTTAGTAGACAAGAGAACTTATGATGAATATAAATATTAGAAAATAAGTAGCACCTTTGGTCAATAAAATGATTGTCAACATTTATTTCTAGAAAGCCTAAAAGCACATTTCTGATTTTGTAAATAAAACAAGTTAATATGTACCATGAAGTTTAAGTGCTGCATATTTCAGAACGTGCACAGAATGCTTACCGATGGAATAAAAATGAAATCCTCAAAATAGTTTCAATTTTTAGATAAAAATGCTACAGATATTTGTTTCCTATATCTTTGAAAATTACTCAGAGAATTCGTCTAATACCCATTCAGCTTGCATCATAAGATACTATAGTATTAATTTAACAATCTAGACCCATCCATTTATTTCAATAAAGGAACTTTTCTGTGCATGGCACTTTTCTAGGCATTAAAGCTCTTATTATAACTAAGATAACATCCTTGTCCACAAGGAGCTCACATTCTAGTAAGATGGAGATGAATTTGAAAGTATATTCCAAACTACAGACAAAATATGTACTCCCACAAAGGAATTCAACATTTGGTTGCAAATTAGTTGTGCAGAGAAACAGAAACTACAATTAACAGAGACAGCAGAAATGACAGCTCAGCAGTAAATGATTCAGTAGTCAACAAATTTGCTTAAAAATGAACTAGGAAAAAAATGATGTAGGAACATATTGAACTGAATATACTTTTAAAATAATGAACAACATAACGTATTCCTGACTTAAATAAATCTACATTGTTTGGTTAAAAACGAAATACGTATTTGTATGAAACTCCTAGTTCTTTCATTTTGTTAATTTTTCCTCAAGTTTTATCTGCCAAGTTCAGAACCACTGTATATGCAAAAATTATTATTAAAAAATAAATATTTTTTTCAAGATCAAATCATAATCATTTTAAGTACTTTCAGTAGTAAGAAGGCAAAAAGAAGTACATTCTACCTTACATTTTAAAACTTCAACTGCCATTTAAATTATTTCATACCATAGTGATTTGTTGAAAAATGAAATATGTATAGCCATGATTTAGGTCATATAAAGATAACTGACTAGATCACCTGAGCTGTCAAGCAAATCTACTGTTTCTTTTCATTTTCCTATCATCGTAATTGTAGTTGATAGACCATGTGACAGTAAGGTCATTTGTTCAGTGCTCTTTAAAGTGCCCTGAGAACAAACAAATGAACTACATTCTTTTCACTTAAAAATAATAAAAATACAGCCCAAGATGCAATTTATAGTTAAAAAAATAACAATTCTACAGATTAACCCCTAAAGAATTGTTGCAAAAGCTAGCTACGTTGGCCATTGCCAACCAATGTCTTATATCTGTCTTCTTAGCAACATGTCATTATGTATGACTTTTATACCAATAATCTTACTTTTAATATTTGCCCATACATACCAATGGGATAAGAAAGAAATATTTGAAGAATATAAGTAGTAAATATTTTCAGGAATTCCTCAGAAATAGGGAAGTATTCATTCTAGGAAATATTAATCAATATAGTAGTTTAAAATATTTGGAGGGAAGTGCTTTTTAGTAAGAAGCTCCAAATCAAATGTAAATATTAGCAAATACATGGAAATAATTTACTGTCCCATCTTCAACACAGGAATTTCTACACCTGACTCATATTTAAGTAATTTGTGATCTCATTTTTATCATATTACAAAGAAAGGGGCTTCTATTTATTGATGCACTCACTGGAGCTACTGAGGCTTGACCTGTCACACAGACAAGATAAACTGAGTATATTTGGATATCGGTTTCCCTAAATCTAACCAAACACATCACTGAATACAAGGGCATCACGGGCCCTGTTCATGAAAGATTTTACTGTGACACATCAGTTTATCAAAACTTTTATTAAAGTATGTTCTTAGGGTAAATATCTTTGATGAATTAAGCAAACAAGTATCAAATAGATTGTTTTTACACTTGTACAGAGCAAATTCCTAATAGCAACCATCTCCCCTTCACTAGGGATTTTTTATTTAGAAGTGACTTTTTTTTTCTGAAATAGAATAAAAAAGGAACCCCCCCCCACCAATCTACTAGATAAAATGGGGACAGAAGAAGATGGTATCACGAACATAAGACAAACTATAGTTCTACAATTGCCAGACACCCATTGTCAGGTTTTGTGTTAACGACATAATATACATATGTACTACATAAATGTAGTACATAAAAAATACTACATAAATGTCCATTTAATAAAGAAAGAATTTTCAAGATAGGTCTTATCCTAATAATTTTATTAACTCATCCTCAGATTCTTAGATCGAGAAATATTATTGGTGTGTCCTATTCAAAGTTATGCAATGATGATAATTTCTGACATACAACTTAATAATTTAACAAACTTGCATTGTGTGTTCTGTGCTCTGGAATTAAATTTTTAGGAAACAAGTGAATGATGGTTCTAAAATAAAATAGGAACATAAAGAAAGGAGGAATTAATGGAATATTGACACACAGATTCTATAAACACATTAATGGCGAGTATTTTTAATGACTTAGATATTGCTATAGCCACATATATTGTGCAAAATCATTTCATCCCACCAATTATTATGTCCAGTTTACTCAGAATTGTCTACTGTGGGAATCGTTAAATACTCTTCAAATTAAATTTACAAACATGATTTAGCAAAATATGACTCAGTAGAAATATACTTATTTTGGAAATAAAGGATTTATCAAGCAAGGGTAGAATAAGTGTTTCTGGGTGAATATGTATTCAGTCTACAAAACAGGATGGCTTATGCTGTGCAATCGAAGAAAAGGTGGGTCAAGAGTCCAAAGACTTGGGTTCTACTTCCTACCCTGCACTTACTAAAAGGATAGATGTATGTTTAGGTAAAGCCCTTAACCTATTCTGGTCTTATTCTGTAAAAATGTGTATCTCTAACAAACTAATTTAAAGGGTTGAGAAGATGAAATGAATTAAATATATTTTTGGTACATAAATATATCAAAATAAAATACAATACAAATCAAAATACAATTATATCTAATGCTTAGAAAATAAACACTTCAAGGATTTATTTATGCATTGAGAGAGAGAGAAAACACGAGCAAGGGGAGGGGCAGGAGGAGAGGGAGAGAGAAACCTAAGCCGACTCCACGCTGAACATGGAGCCCAACTCAGGGCTCAATCTCACGACCCTGAGACCATGACCTGAGCTGAAACCAAGAGTCGGTCACTCAATTGAGACACCCAGGTGTCCCAAAAATAAACACTTTAGTTCACGTCCTTTCTCACTAAATTCATAAATCTTCATACTTTAGTTACAAATAGAAAGCATGTGGTAGAAAAATAAAGTCCTTTAAATAGTATATCCAAAATTCGTACTCTAATGAACAACCCTATAAACTAGGTCTAACTTCAAAATCTTTCTTAGATGCATATGAAAGTAAAATAACAATAAACCCAGAATAAAAAGCTTGGAGGAAGATGTTTCAAAATTCACCCTGAAATTCATATAAGAATTCTGTTCTTTTATTCATCTGAACAGAACTTTTTATCAACTTACGTCTTGATAGAATATTGAGTAGCAGTGTTTTCATACAGAGTTTCTTTAGCTTATTTTTGCCATATTTGAATTTTAAACAAAAAAGCTTGTTTTGCTATGTGAAGAAAAGTATTTGCTGAAAAGGTAATCAATTAATCACCTATTGAAATATTCCTGAATGTTAGTCACACTATTAACAAGTACATGTGGAGACTGAAAAACATGGTGTTCACCACACAGGGGAGTGTAACTATACCCGCCAAAGAAACAAGAGTTCTGTATTAAAAATGCCCAGAATTGATGAAAAATGCTTAAGAAGCTGGCCTAGATATTGTAAAAAATAATGGAAAGAAAATACTTTTAAAAAATAATTATGAGAAAAGAAGATAAGAAGGTAAGGTGGCTCAAGATTGGGATGGGAAAAATAATTCAGTCTAAAAAATCCCCATATGCTCTAATACCAAAAATTCTGTTTGCAATATTACTTTTCCTCTTAACGCAGAGACCTAAAAAGCTTGATTCTCAGTACTATAACAATGCTTTCATGAACTGCACAGATGTGGAATAAAGCAAAGGAAAGGCAATGTGGGGGAAGACTAATATAAACCAGATCGCAGGACCTTGAAGGAGTTAAAAATTAAATAGTGTACAAACAACTGAGAGCAAAGAAAAGAAAATGAGAGCTACAAAAAATGATGTGAGCTCAGCAAATTGTTCATGTTTTAATTATCAACAAAGATAATTTCTGATTTTGATTATACAAGCACTATAATTACAGATAATTGAGCCTCTCAGCTTTTAAGTGCAGGGAGACTGTGCACATGGATGTGTAAAAATCAAAACCTAAAAATCAAAGTGAGTTGAATAAAGTAAAGATTCTAATTTCAACTTATATCTGAATAATTTTGATGCTGCTTGGTGCTGTGAAGTGTGGTGGTAAGGAATCAACTTGGTAAGATGCATCGGGGATCTCACTGCATTGAAAGAGTGTATAAGGTACGTAATGGCCCCGTGCTGTCATGGTAAGCTTTGTTTCTCAAAGCCACGAGGCCTTTTAAGAAGATTAGAAACATCCAGGATAGTTAGTGCCAAGGACAGGAAGACTGATTTTTTTCTAGATTCCTAAAAAATCATATTCATTTATATATTTATCATGCACAAGGAAGACTCCTATTAACAATATGTCTTCTAGATTATAAGCACCTTCCTTATCCAGGATACCTCAAGCCTCCAGTCACAGGAGTTCCCTCACTTGTGAAGATGAGAGGTCATGGTCAAAAGTACATACTGTTGATTCCAGGAAGACAGCCATTCCTACACATCACAACTGATTAAGACCAGATGCAGCACATGTGATTTTGTGAAAGATGCACTAGAAGTACAGTATCTAAAATAGTGCGAAGGAGAACACTATTCTGTGGATGTCAAAAGTCTTAGAGGGAAAGGACAAAAGCAAGGACATTTGTTCTGACTATAGGACAAATGGACAGAGGGGACAATGGCAGTAACAGATGTTCCAGGAAAGTTGAAAAATCAGTTAGGATGTAGGGAGAGTTACATTAAATGATGAAAATAAATACATACTCTGTAGATGAACCAAATCATTCATATCTTACAATCTTTTTAAGTTTCTTTGGTAGCTTGGATGATCCTCTAAATAGGAATCTCTGTAACTCTGAATATAATGTTTTGTATGAAGTACTTTTTGAGTCATAATAAGTAGCAACCAATATGGGAATTACTTGTCCATAAAGAAAATAACATTTTTCTTCTAAATCCAACCTCGGGGAAAATATATTATCCCTGAGTTATATAAATATGTCATTATTTTCGTGCAAAAAGTATTAAAACAATTATGGCTATTATACAATCATTACCATTATTTGGTATAATTTGCATTGGCTAGAAAAGCAGGCAACTTGAAATTATATACTCAGTTTATAGCAAACAGTCTCTAATGAACACGAAATAAATCAAGATACAAATTGCAGTTAAACCTAATTGGTTGGCTATATAGGGTTTAAATTTTTTGTATCTCTATTTTATCTACCTTTGCTTCTATAGATTCTATTGAAGGCGGCATGCTAGTGAACACACTAGGGGCTCTTTCTGCTTTTAGAGAAATCCGAGTTTTAGTTCTGAATCTGTCACATACATCTTTTCACTTTGGGTAATTAGCTGAACTTTGTGTGTCTGATCTTTGTTTTGTTTCTCTCATCTGTTATATCAGGTCAATAGCTCTACTTATAATTTGGTTTGAATATTAAAAGGTATTATGTAGGTAAAATGTACAATGTAAATATTAGTTCCCTTCTCACTTTATACCCTTTCTCCCTATTAAATGGAACCTAAAGATCATGATTTTTCATTTTGTTTCATTAAAAGTGTGCAACATGATACATATGAGAGAACTTTTTTAAAAAAAGGTACTTTAGATGGAAAATAATTTTCAATTAACTGATTAAGGATTTCTCTGCATTTTATAATATCAATATAAAAACTTATATTTACATCATACATCTTTTTTCTGTATCCTCAATTGTCATGTGCAGCCAGAGGAGGAGTAAAAAAAAAAATCTAGTTTTTTAAAGAGCACATTCAAATATATCAAACTCATTTTACTGATTTTCTAGTGTCTAGAGGTGGGGCATGAGATAAGACAGGTGGATGTTGATACCAAAGAAGTGAAACTCACATAAATCTACATTGAGAAAACACCATGTCTTCCAACTTGAAGTACACTAGGACCTAACCCAGTGCCTCTTAAACGTGTGTTGACTGGACCCCCCCCCCCAAAAAAAAAGGATCAAGAAAGAGGGTAGGGATAGGTCAGGACAAGTCTATACCCAAAATTCTTAGTGAAGGCATATTTAAGGCTCAATTGTGAAAAATATGGGCTGCTAGTTATCACAAGTAGAAAAATACTTAACGTAGCTAGTGATTATGAATTATTTTAGTACCCTGGTTGATAACCTCCCTTCTTAACAATTCCCCAGTGGGGTAATGGGACTAAAACGAATTTTATTGGTGTACTCTGATTTCGTTTCATGATATCTTGAACATCTAAAACCTGTCACTCCTAGGGAAAGAAATATGGTCTACACTGATCACTGCAGACTCAGAGGCCAACTATATTGCTTCCTCTAGACCGTGTGAATGTTCTGGGTTGATAGTCTCTTCTTGGTCTCTGAAAGATTCTCTTAAAGCAACAAATAAACTCACAAGTTCAAGGGAGTGGAGAGAGTGAACGACTAGATAATTATTTTACTCTGAAATAATTCTCAATCCTGTACATGAGTCTATGTCACTGTTTCAAGTGTGTTCTAAATTAATTTTCAACATAACTGTGAGAATGAACATGTGTGCATATTTGTAACTTTCTGTAGAGCTGTCGCCGGGCATGGCTTTGAATTATTACGTGCTTTGAATGTGCAATTTTACTTCCCTTTCTTTTTCAACAATTTAATATACAGTGTTAGAAATGAAAAGTTAATGAAGATGACCGAAGACCAACAGAACAGGTAAGAATCAGTTTTCACCTGACACAAACCTCATCAATACATAAATGAACCTTCTTCTATGGAGGAAGGCACTGGAAGGCATCCACCAGCAGGTGACAAAAGGACTAAAGCCTTGGGCCCGAAACCCCACTTATCATTACTTTAATGTTTATTTCCCCCAGGATCTGATATGTATATTAATCTAAATACATATCCTCAGAGAATTGAAGACATTTCTTGGGAAATGTTTAAGATTGGGGAGCTACTACACAATTTGTAATGTTGCGGTTCTTATGACAAGTCAGAGTTCTATACAAAAGCACTTAATAATATGAAAGTAGCTCATTCAAGACTCAAGATTGGGCAAAACTAAATTAAAAACGGCCATACACTGCCCCATTTTGCCTGATTTTTTTTACCTATGGTATTGGCACAAGTTGCTTTATTTAATATTTAAAAAAATACAAATTCCTCTTCATCTGCAAACAAAATGAATGCTAAATGAAATATAGGACTTTATATAGCTTCCTAAATATGAGCCACATGCTTAGCCAGTGCATAAATTTTACAAATCAAATCCTTAATGTTAATTATCACAAAAGCTTGGTGTCCAGGTGTAATCTTATAGGAAATAATAGTCTGCCTCCACTGCAATTTAAAAAAAAAATGAACAGCAAATTCCTTTTGACATCTTAAGAGTTAAATCACTTCCATAATCAAGCACTAAATGTTTTTCATTAATCATACTCTTAATTTAAATTTCAGATTTACTGATGTAAATACTTAATGACTTTAGCCCTAAGGCACAAATTCTTTCTTGTTTAAAAGTACTGTCTTACTCTAAATGGTATTTATAGTTCTCAGTGCATAGTAACTATCATACGCCTGAACATTCAAGGGTGATTCAGATTCTCAGATGTTTTAACATCGTTACGAAAATGAGAAACTGCTAAATTAAACCGGCCAGCAACGGGCAATGTTGCAGGCCTCTTGCTATCCTGTGATAAACTTCACAAGTGTGTATATGGAGTCATGAGCAGCCTCCAGTTCTAGAAACCTTTTCTCACAGTCTCTCAGTTATGTTCCTAGGCGGCAGGAAGTCTCATCAGGAGGGGGTGGGATTTCGAAGTGTGCCCTTCCTTATAGCCTGAGGAATTTCAGTGGTGGAGTGAAAGGCCTGTTTGGGTTTCTGGGTGTTTTGCTTTTGCATTTTAGGGAGGGGTGAGAAATGACAGAACTGGGAGGCCTCAGTATAAGCACCTCTCACTCTCAGTCAGCTTTACTCAGATCATTCATAACAGTAATCCTCTGATCACGGTTATATGTTGGGAAAAATTAGAAATTGACCTATTTGTCAGCCTGTCGACCAGGATTCTGGTATATTCCATTTTGAAGTCTCAGTCTAACAGTGAGTGTAGACTGAGTTCTGATTAAAAAAAAAATCCCTGGTTATTACTTTCTGGATTTGTAACTAAATCCTTTTAAAATCAATGAACGTAGCTCATTGCGAACAGTCACTTAGGCTTTTAATTTGATTTACATATGAAGTAAGAATTCTGAAAATTATTTGAGAGTTCTATTCTCTAGCACCAGGTACTAATGACCATCCTCAAAGAAATCACGTGCATGGATTAATCAAATCTAACAGTGCTCAGAAATAATGGTTTAAAATGGACTTTTTTTTTCAAATTTATTTTATACATGCAAATTTTTTTCACGCAGTTAGTTGCATTTTCAAATTAAGATCGTTCTCATTTTCACTGATGTTCTTATCTTTAAGCTTCACATTGTAAAGTAGTGTGCTGATATAACAGATTTCTTCATTCTCAGTGGATTTATTTTTAAAGTTAAAAAAAGTGATAATATTCTTTTTGAACTTACTTGTCTTGTGTACATATAGGTCAGTGTGTGTGTGTGCATGCACGTGCACACTAGAAGAAAATTCATTTTCCTTCAATTCCATTTAACACTAAAAAATGAAATTTGGACAGGGTATTCTTATTGGATTAAACACACGCCTTCTAAGTACTTAAACCAGGGGTTTGCGATTCAGATCTCTATAAGCAAGACTGGAAGTCACTGGAAGACTTTAAAATTATTTTAACCATGACAACCAGAGTCATGTATGGAAATAAACCCATTGCATGGATTCTTTCTAGGCATAATCTCAAATTTGAACTATCCAAACAAGTGTTAAAAAACAAACCTATAAAAACCCGCCATCGAGGAAAATCTCATCTCCATCCTTCATTATGACTCCTCATTTCAAGTAAAAACTTTCCCAATTTTTGAAAAAAAAAAAAATACTCCTAAGAAAGTCATAAACACTGAAATCAGAGATGTGATTCTTGTTAAATATTAGTTTCTCTTTCGGAGGAATTATTCTCTGTTGTTGTACTTTTGACATCAACATCATGGTGTTTAGATTTGTTCAAGGGTTCAGACTCTCTGGACTCAGGTGTATGCAGTTTCTTGTTCCTTTCTTCTTCCTTCTTTTCCTTTGCAAGCAATCTGTAGTTTATGGCGTTGCCGATGAGCAGCCACACACTTGAGAGGAACACAATAGCGCCACAGGCTATATACATGTATTTATACTGTCCAGTTTGATCCACCAATTTACCTAACAGACAGAAAACATCTTTTAAGACAGCATAATAAAACAGCTGTAAAATGATAACATTTTCCAGTAAATTCTTCCACAAAGTATGTACCCATTTCTTATTGAGGCTAATATTACATGAGCTTTTAACAAAAACTATTCTAGATTATGAATTCTATACATGCATAAAAAAGGCATGTATGTACACATAGCATTGTATTACCAGTATATTAAATTTAAGGAAGATTATTCCCCTCAATAAAAATGTACAACCAAGACAAAATAGGTATATATCTGTTTGTGTGTATATTCATAAATACATGTATGTGTGAGGCACGTTTATTGTATCTGTGTGTCTACAAACAGATATACCTATCTATTAACTTTTATACATGGAGACTGCTTCATCCTTCCCACGCTTCTTTTCTTTTTTTTTTAAAGATTTTTTTTTTTAAATTTATTTATTTGACAGAGAGATCACAAGCAGGCAGAGAGGCAGGCAGAGAGAGAGGAGGAAGCAGGCTCCCTGCTGAGACTCTGAGATCATGACCTGAGCCGAAGGCAGCGGCTTAACCCACTGAGCCACCCAGGCGCCCCACCCACGCTTCTTTTCAATAAAAAGGAAAAATTCACATTTTTTAGGAAAGACCCAAAGGCTTTTTTAAAGGTTCTTGACATGGCATAATATTTACTCAATGCTTTTTCTATGCTTACCACTAGGCTAAACACTTTTTTTTTTTTAAGATTTTTTATATGTTTATTTGAGAAAGAGAATAAGAGAGAGAGCATGGAGGTGTGGGGGAAAGGGAGGAGGGAGAGGAAGAAGCAGACTCCCTGCCTAGCAGAAGCCTTACATGGGACTCAATCCTAGGACACTGGGATTCTGACCTGAGCTGAAGGCAGAGGCTTAATGACTGAGCCACCCAAGCCCCCTTAGGCTAAACACTTTTAAATGAGGTTATAGCTCATTTAATTCTTACAAGATCACTATGAAATAATTTGATTATGGTTACATAGCCAGTGAGTGGCAGAATCTGGAATCCAACCAAGGTCTGTCTGAAACTCAGATTCTTAACTATTCTGTAAAAGAGCTTTACCATACCTCTTGGTTAAGAGTCATATCATAACTTTTTGGGCTAATCACAATTTTTATCTGAATCTAAATTATTAAGGCCAGACAAATCAGGAAGAAAGTATTTATTACATTTGATTATTAAGAACATTTAAAAACTAGCCTGATACCATATAACCTGAAGAATTATTGATCTTTTTTTTTTTTCCCCCGAGAGAGAATGAGAGCAAGCATGGGTGGGGGGACAAGCAGAGGCAGAGGGAGAGAGGGAATCTTAAGTAGACTCTACACCCAGCACAGAGCCTGATGTGGTGCTTGATCTCACAACCTGAGATCATGATCTGAGCCAAAACCAATCATTGAACACTCAACCAGCTGAGCCAGCCAGGAACCCAGGTTTACTGACTTTTAAAAATACTTCAGTTTATACTTAGTTTTGCTTCTTGCTTATGCAGGTACCTAATTCTTAACAATGATAGTATATGCAAGTCCATATTATTTATTATATGCATATTCTAGGTGATTCTGATATAGGCCTGATTCTTTAATCAGAATCTCATTTATTCTGGCTAGAATATAAGTTAGTGGCTCAGTATTAAATTTAGCTACTTGTGAAATTGCCTATTTGAACAAAGTTCTCTGTTTTAATCAGTTAAATGGTGGAACAGGTTTGAGTGTGCCATATACATAAACATAACAAAATGCATAATTTAAATTTCCATTCTAGCTTTAGTCGATTGTTTTTATTCATACGATGACTGTTATACTTCTAAATACATAAACATTAGGTCTATGGTCCCATCAGAGTTAGTATCACTTTGGGCTGCCATATCAACATACTTTCTAAATGTCTGGGGAATTTATTTTAGCATCATCAAGAAACCAGACACGTTTCTAGAACTAAAGCTTCAGCTATTGTTGAGTACAGCAGTGGAAGTCTGAGCTGAAAACAGTAACTAAAAATCATACCCTATCTTCCACTCTGGCTTTACAAACAAGAGTAGCAGCAACTGCAGCAATGGTGTGAGAAGTAACAACAATTATATTCATTCATTCGAACGTATTTACGGAGTGCCTACCATGCGCCAGACCGTTCTATCAGTGATCAAAGGCTACAGAGAAGAAGCCAGTCCAAAAGTCAAGGAGGATCAGGGATACCAGAAGACAGAAAAAGGATGGGAAAAAAAAAATGGATTTATTATGGCTATGGCCTGAGAACTTCCAAAAGGAGCCCCAAATGGATTCTTGCCATTGCCAGCACTTGCGTAATGGTTTGGCAGTATTAACACAAGAAGCACTCAAGATCACGGAAACTGATACAAATGTTACTAATACAGGTTCTCAGCGCAGGTAGCAACATTCAAATCAGATGCCTTCATTTTCATTCTTAGAGCCTACCCATTATGCCTGTTGACCCGACTTAATTTTTTTTTACTCTCACCACAGCTGGTGAAATACAATATTCTCTCTTGATACTAAAAATTTTGCTGCTAATTAATAGGCTTCTAAAACCCATTTAGTAAACTAATTCTGTAGGCAAAGACAGGTCAATTATAGTTGTCTTATGCAACAAAATCAATCAGCTGATAAACAAGACTAACTTTCATTCCTTCTGAAAATTGGTTTGGTGCCATAGTACAGCCAATATTAAAAGACAGACCACCCAAAACATCTGTGCTTGATACAAGATGACAGCCCTCATAGATGGAAAAATTCAGTAGCCGCTCAGATTTTAAGATCTGAAATATTTTCAGTGACGCCTATGAGTGGCAAGAATGCCACTAGTTCTTGACCAAGTGAAAAAGCAAGGTAGAAGTTCAATGATACCTAAAGATCAACAAATTAAATACAAGTTTTCCCAATTCAAAATTATTTCTTGATGTATGGAATTGCTGAATTACTATATTGTTCACCTTAAATGAATATAACACTGTCTGTTAACTATACTGGAATTTTAAAAAATGATACCTTGATGTCATGTAGGGAAGCAGTTTAAATACTGGAAAAATTTACATTTAACCTGGCAGTTAATATGACCACTAGGGGTCAGGCCAAGAGCCTAAGTGAATACCTAAGTTTAGTATTAACCAAAACAATGTACTGGAAAATAATGTTTTTTTATTTAAATGTTTTAAAGTTTAATGTTTTAATTTAAATTAACTTAATTTAATTTATAACATTAAAGTCTAAGACTGAACAAAGTCTTAGCTTCAAAAATGCACTTATACATTTAGCACAGATACTTTTCATAGGCATCACTGAAAATATTTCAGATCTTAAAACCTATAGGTACCCACTATAATTTTTTATATAAGTTATATAATATAATTATTTTATTTATATAATATAATTTTTATAAAATATTATTATATAAATATATAATTTTTATATTATAATATCTCAGATCTTAAAATCTATAGGTAACCACTATAATTTATAAATGTGGAATGTATCTGTTCAAAATGAATTTCTTTTCCATACTGCATTTCACATACATATATATATGAGTATATATATATATACATATAAATGGATATATATATATATTTCTGTCAGCAATATTATAAAAGTATGCTATGCTTAGGCATGTAAGATATTAATATAACCAATGTACTCTAATTAAAAAATAGATCCTGACCTTTAGTAGCATTATTTTACAGTTTTGACTCATTTTAATATAAGCAGAAGAGAAATTTGTTAGTCAATGATAGAATGAAGAAAAAGTGGAATTTTATTATTATGACACAATTTTATAAGCACAAAACAATGGCTATGGGTAAAAACATGCAAATTATGTTACTAAGTATCAGTATAATTTAACTTTTTAAGTTCACAGGTCCTGGCTCTGAAGCAAATTTAGGTCTAAGAGCAACCATTTATGAAATTTAAAAATACATACATAATAAAACCTAAAATTAACACACCCACAGTCTTTCAGGCTATTACTACTTATTATTATAAGCCCCATCATACGCTACAAAGAATGTCCTGGCTAGTCGATATTCATTTTATGCTTTTTGCTTTTCTGGATGAGAATTATTCTTACCAGCAAGAGGAGGACCAAGGAGAACGGGGCAACACTCCACCACTGTGACAAGTCCTACAGCGCTGGAAAACCTTTGAGGGCCAACCAGGTCCATGAGAGTTTCAAAGAGGACGCTGCTAACACTCCCAAATCCAAGACCAAAAAATATAGCATATAACACCAGACTTGTGTAGTCCTCTGCCAGTGGGCACAAGAGATGGCACACTCCAGTGAACATGATTGCAAAACTGAAGAAATACTGGATTCGGGGGCGGATAAGTTTAGAGTTTGCAATGAGTCCTCCAGCGGGTCTAGCAAACATATCAACAAAAGCCATAATAGACAGCAGGAAAGCTGCAGAATACTCATCAATTCCTTTGTCTTTAGCATATGGAGCCAAGAATATAATGGGGGCAAAAAACCCTAGAAACATAATGACATTTCCAGATAAGTATATCAGAAATCCCCTATGCTTAAAAAGGGAGAAATCTAAATACATATTGACTAACTCCCATGCTGATTTCTTCCTATGGCTCCTCACACCTGAGTCATCCACTCCTATGTCAATGTTATTTTTAGAGTGATTGGCAACTTGTTTGGGTTCAACAGGTCTCATGAGGGACCCAGCCACACAGGCATTCAACAGTATACCCCCCAAAATCAAGAAGCTTCCTTTCCAGCCAAAAGTATTGAAAAGGTACTGATTGAAAGGAGCCAACGTGCTTAAGAAAACAGGACTTCCTGCCATGGCTAGGCCATTAGCCACGGGCCGTTTCTTATAGAAGTATTTGCCAATGATTGTTAGGGCGGGTTGCAGGTTGAAGGCTAGACCTAAACCTAAAGAGAACAGAACAAAAGGAAGAAAAACACAAACACATTATGTCACTCACAAAAGGAATTACTCCTTAAAATGTACATTCAAGTGGAGAAGGCAGAACTAAAAGTGCAAAAGTGGGTAGTAATTTTTGATAATTATGAATATCATGGAATTATGCATAAACAAAGAGGTTCCCACAACTGGACACCCTAATACATATGACAGCTTCACAGTCCTTTCATGTGAAAGTAGAAAAATAAAACCAAGGACATCTACTGATGTTTCCATAATCACAGAATAGGTTGAAATTATTAGTTCTTAATTATAATCACTTAATACCACAGAAAAATTAATCCTCTTTATGTACATAAACATATATATTTATATGCATTATATTTACACCACATATATAGATTTCTTCCTTGTGGCAAGAGTACATTTAAAATGTGAACACTGTTTTTTTTTTTTTTCCCCAAATTTTATTTATTTCTTTGACAGAGACAGATCACAAGTAGGCAGAGAGGAGGAAGCAGGCTCCCCGCTGAGCAGAGATTCCCAATGCGGGACTCGATCACAGGACCCTGACATCATGACCTGAGCCGAAGGCAGAGGCTTTAAACCACTGAGCCACCCAGGCACCTGAACACTGTTTTTTTAAGAGTGGAACAGAGTGAACAGATTAAAAAGGTTGTCATTGGGGCACCTGGGTGGCTCAGTGGGTTAAAGCCTCTGCCTTCGGCTCAGGTCATGATCCCAGGGTCCTGGGATCGAGCCCCGCATCGGGCTCTCTGCTCAGTGGGGAGCCTGCTTCCTCCTCTCTCTCTCTGCCTGCCTTTCTGCCTACTTGTGATCTGTCAAATAAATAAATAAAAATCTTTAAAAAAAAAAAATAAAAAAATAAAAAGGTTGTCATTTATGAAAATCT